TCTAATGGATTCAACACACGATGCTTCTCCTTCCTGAAGCTCAGACAGATCTGATCTCAGAGGATTTTAACTTCCTGTCAGCTGACTCTCCTCCAGCAGATCCCCGAACATCGCAGACCTTAAAGAGACAAACCGTCCACACACTGGGAACAACAACGGCCCTTTCCCAGCATGAAAACACGTACTAAAGAGACACTTTGTTTACAGCCTACTCCAAATCTCACATAATCATAAAAATAATAACACGTTACATTTTTATAGCGCTTTTCCCAGTGCTCAAAGACGCTTTACACAAAATCAGAAACAGAAACAGAGCAAAGAATGCTGACTGACAGCTGCTGAGGCAATGCATTGTGGGTTAGTTGAGTATTTGCAGTATAAGCTAAGATGCATCCCATCATTTCTTGCATGAACAAAATTAACTTACTATGCAGAGTCAACACATTCCAACTCATTTAAAAGGAGTTTGACACATTTTCAAGCCTACAATGTGTAATGTTTAAAAACAGATTTTTGTTGGTTCTCAATGCTTACAACAAGAAGACGAAATGAGAATAAAGAATACCATAAAGAGGTTTAATACATTGATTGATTGGTTGATTGGTATATTGGTTGATTGGTTGATTGTTTGATTGGTTGGTGATTGATTGATTGTTTGATTGGTTGATTGGTTGATTGGTTGGTTGGTTGATTGGTTTATTGGTGGATTGGTTGATTGGTTGATTGATTGATTGTTTGATTGGTTGATTGGTTGATTGGTTGGTTGATTGGTTTATTGGTGGATTGGTTGATTGGTTGATTGGTTGGTTGATTGATTGGTTGGTTGGTTGATTGGTTGATTGGTTTATTGGTGGATTGGTTTATTGGTGGTTGGTTGATTGATTGGTTGGTTGGTTTATTGGTGGATTGGTTTATTGGTTTGTTGGTTGGTTGATTGGTTGGTTGATTGGTTTATTGGTGGATTGGTTGATTGGTTGATTGGTTGGTTGGTTGATTGGTTTATTGGTGGATTGGTTGATTGGTTGATTGCTTGATTGATTGGTTGATTGGTTGGTTGGTTTATTGGTTGGTTGGTTTATTGGTTGATTGGTTGATTGGTTTATTGGTTGGTTTATTGGTTGATTGGTTGATTGGTTGGTTTATTGGTTGGTTTATTGGTTGGTTTATTGGTTGGTTGATTGGTTGATTGGTTGATTGGTTGGTTTATTGGTTGGTTGATTGGTTGATTGGTTGGTTGGTTTATTGGTTGGTTGATTGGTTGATTGGTTTATTGCTTGGTTTATTGGTTGGTTTATTGGTTTATTTGTTGGTTGGTTTATTGGTTGATTGGTTGGTTGATTGGTTGATTGGTTGATTGGTTGGTTGGTTGATTGGTTGATTGGTTGATTGGTTAGAAGTAGACTGAACAAGAAGATATGAGATGCAAGCGGTAATAAGAAAAAAGTAAACAAAAAAGTAAACAAAGGTAGACTTAAGAAGACTCGATAAGTAGACAAAAGTGAATAAAAGTAAGTAAACGAGTAAACAAACGTTGATAGAAGTAAATAAGTAGATGAAATTTAGACTTAATTAAACAACAGTAGATGATAAAAAAATCACCACTTCTAAAATTAGAAGAAGGTTTATAGATAATTAGACGAAAGTAGACTGAAGTACATTAAAGTAAAGTAAATAAACAACAGGAGACTTAAGAAGATGGAAGTGGCCGAAATAAACAACATAGATACACAAAGGTAAACGAAAGCAGTCTGAAGTAGAAAATAAATGGACGAGCGTAGACGGAAGAAGACGAAACTAGAAAAGATAACTAGACGAAAGAGGAAGGAAATGTTCTGTGAACAACATAGACTAAAGGTAGGTTAACGGATGTAAACTAAAGTGAACGAAAAGTAAACAGATGTAGAAGAAAGTAAATGGAAGTAGACAAGACGAAACTACGAGTTCACAAAATTGTAAGAAGGTATATGTATAAAAAAGTAGAGATGGAAGTAGAGGAAAGTAGAAGTACGTTTACCATAACTTCATGTAAGGTGACTAAGGCCCCATTTACACGAAGATGAACCGAGCAATGACGCGGGTGATGCGGGGGTGAGCAGGAGAGGTGGCGAGAGGCGGGGCTATGGCGTATAGGGCGTACACACGGAGCCGTTTGACCCCCCAGAGCGCTCCGTCCGCAGATCGACCCACCTTGGGACCCGTTATCGTTTGAGGGCTCCGTTTCAGAGGTTCCGTTACGGCCTCGTGTGAACGAACCGTCCATACGATACAGAACTGTAGCGGATAACACCCGTTCCATCTCCGTGTAAACAGGGCCTAAAGGAGATGAAAGTAAATGGAAGTAGAAGAAGGTAAACAACAAAGAACAACATACTGGTAGGTTAACAAATGTAGACGTAAGAAGACAATAAGTAAACAAAAGTAGACTAAAATACACAAAGGTAAACGAAGACTAAAGTAGGCAATAAGTAGAAGAAAGTAAAACAATACAGACTAAAGTACG